AGTCTCTGTGAGGCAGGCCTACCAAAGGGGTAGCTCTATTGTATCTAGATTATAATGATTATTATAATATTCATCTGTTATCATGATTTATTCTGAAATGCTTATTTTGCCCAGTGTCCTGTACTTCTGAGAGAGTTTTCAATCTTCAGGAAGGGTTTCTCACAAAGAGCAAGTTCATCAGCTAATGTATGTCTTTTTCCCCAGCTGTCTACATGTATCCTGCACATATCTCTCTGCCCAAAACCCTTCCTGATATTCAGTGTATCTTTGTTCATGCTTAAATGTTTGCCTTTAGTCACTGTCTCCCAGGGAAAATGAAAATATCCAGGTGGGTCTCACAGGAATGCAATTTCTAAATTGGAGCACTTTCTAACAACTGCATTCCAGTGTAAAATACGATTAACACTAATTTTAGAGAGTTGCTTAGGAAAAGATGTAAGACAGAGGAGCAACAGAAGGTTCGGTGTGGGTCACAGGACAACACAAACCTGGAAGGTATTTCAAGTGAGATGCCACGTGAAGATAGAAGCACTCAGAGCAGTAATGCATGCTTGGTGCCATATCAGAGGGAGATAAAATTCCTATCAGGGGATCAGAAATGTGTGGTATATTCCCGCATTTAGAAGAACTTGAGGCTCTGAGATTGCCTCTGATGGTCCTGAGAAGCTTAAGTGGTGTGTTGATTGGCAGGTTCTCTATTCAACTACAAGCATTTCTCCTTCCCATTCCTTTGGCCTTTTAGTAGGACATCCATGGTCACAGAGCTTCTTCGTCCATCCTGTTCTGATTCTCCAGATCCCCACATTCACATTCTTTCCTTTCAAAGGGTGTTAATACTTCAGGCAGTGCGAACCCAGACACTCAAGACCATATCATATTCTGCAAGCTCGGTCATGAATTTCAGGTGACATCATGAGAAGGTCTAACTGCAGGTACCTGACAACTCCCACTCATGAAAAAAGACTTGTAGACTCTGAATGCAATGCATTTGATTAGCTTTAGATGATGTGTGGTAAAGGACTTCACAAACAGTGCATTCAAAACAGAATAAAACCCACACCATGCCATGTCCCTGCCCACTTTGGGAGACTGACACATGTTTCCAATCACTCATGGTGCATGTACTGTGGGAGGATTTTTCTTTAACTCAGCATGTACTGTGCATGTTCTGTGGTGGTTCTATTGCTGTAACTCAGCATTGATTATGTATTTACTATGGGAGTCTGACAGCTGTATTGCAGCATTCATGCTGATCTACTATGTGAGGCTCAAGCCACTAATGCAGCATTCATATTGAATGTGCTTTAGTGATCCCATGACTGCAGCCAAGTTCTCATTGTGAATGTATTCTGTGACAATTACCCCAAAATTCATGTTGTGTCATACCAACAATCCCGTATTCATTGTGTATATACTATGGTAGGCTTACAGCTGTAACCCACAAATTACTTTGTATATACTTTTGGGTGGGATTTCATATTACCCATCATTTATGTGATGTGTGAGCCTTTTCTGTGTGTTCCTTCTATTGGTTAATGAATAAAGAAACTGCTTTGACCTAATAGGGCAGAACTTAGGTAGGTGGAGAAGACAGAACTGAATTCTGGTAGGAAGAAAGCAGAGTCAGAGAGACACCATGGACCTGTCACCAGAGATAGTATGACTATCTAAGACTTTGCTGGTAGGTCACGACCTTATGGTGATATACAGATTAATAGAAATGGGTTAAAATAACATTTCAGTGTTAGCCAATAAGAAGTTAGAGCTAATGGGCCAAGCAAGCAGTGATTTAATTAATATAATTTCTGTGTGATTATTTCTGGGCTAAGCTAACCAAGTGGCCAGGATAAATATGTAACCCTCTCCATACAACAATTGGTGCTCCAATGTGGTCAACTAAATCCATGTAAAACCTGAGAGGACTTGAAAAAGGAATTCTAGATGAAAAAAATATATAGAGTTTAACACAGCTTCTTGTTGTTTGCTGGCACGGAGTTGCAGCTCCTTTAAAAGAAAGGCTTTCCTGATTCAGCCTAACAAGAAAAAAGCCATGCAGTTTTGAAATGTCGGCTTTCTGGGTTGTGCTGCCTGTGCGACCTCTGGCTCTTTCAGGCAGGAGGTCTGGCAGCAGAGCAGAGCATTTGAATGGGGTTTGTGGGCAGAGTGCTGCAGCTTGCTTCATGGTGGTGTGGACTGGCTCTGTGCCTAGAAATAGACCCTGCACAAAGCTCAGCCAAACCATCATGTACATTATAAAGGTATCTTGACTTCAGAATTTGGGTCTAAGGACATGTTTCTTGGGAAAAGAAGTTCTTTTTTTGTTTATACAGAATACGAGAACATGTGGATTACTTCCAGGCGAATATGGTTTCATGAACCAAGGCCTCTTGAAAGGTCGCCATGAACACCCTCAAAAAACTGCTGACTGAGATGAACCTAGCACACAGGATACACTATAAAAGACCTGATTAACAGCACCCTCAAGCAGCAGGAAGCAGTATAGACAAAACTACTCCCATATTTCCAAATATTGATGCTTACAATGCACTTCCTGTTTACTTAGATAATATTATATTCTTCTAGAGTCTTTGATGAATTTGAACAATAGGTAGTTATTATTATAGTTTTCCTTAGTTATGATAAAAGATAAAGTAAATAGAAATATTGTAACTATAATTCTTGTTTGATACCTATTATATGTAATTTTACTATATTAAAGTTAAAACCTTCCTTTTTATTTAAAAAGAAAAGGGGAGGTGTTGTGGGAGTTCCCTCTGTGTGTTACTTGTATTGGTTAATGAATAAAGAAACTGCTTTGGACTGATAGATCAGAACTTAGGTAGATGGAGAAGAAAGAACTGAATTCTGGGAGGAAGAAAGCAGAGTCGGAGAGACACCATGGACCACCAGAGAAAGATGTGCTGAGACTTTGTTGGTAGGCCATGGCCTTGTGGTGATATACAGATTAATAGAAATAGGTTAAATTAATATGTAAGAGTTAACCAGTAAGAAGTTAGATTTAATGGGCAAAGCAGTGATTTAATTAATACAATTTCTGTGTGACTATTTTGGGGCTAAGCTAGCCAGGTGGCTGGGACAAACAAGCAGCCCTCTCCATACAACATTCATGGTATATATGCTGCAGTGGGCCTATGGTTGTAACTCAGCACTCATGAGACATGTACTGTGGGTGACTGACATGTGTACATAGTTTATGTACTGTGGTTGGCTCATGACTGTCACACATAGTTAATTGTGCATGTGATGTGGGAGGCTGATACATGTATCTCAGAAGCAGTCATGTGAAAGTGAGCAATGATAACTCAGCATTCGCGGTGGATGTACAATGATGGAGACATGACAGTGACCAGCACTCATTGTGCATGTACTGGAGGAGGCTCACACCCATATCCCAGTACTTATTTTGAGTATTCTGGATGATCTCTAACAGGTAACTCAGCACTCAGCATACATACGCTGTGTATGACAGCTGTTTCCCAGAACTCACGTTGTAGGAACTCGCTGGATTCAGTACGGGATCACGTGACCCAGCACATAGCGTTTTCCCATCTGCTGGCTTTATGCTTCTTTGTTCCTGTTTTCTTGTTGTCTTGTTTGTAGTCAGTCTCCTTGTTGTGGTTATGGGTGAAGTAGTTTCCACTATGGGAAAAGCTTCTTCTAAACCAAAAGTTCCCCTGTATCATTTCCTTTTCATTTCCAGGACTTCAAGGATGCTGCTGACATCTTTGCTGCCAATGTGAAACCAGGGTAACTGAAGACCTCATGCTCTTAAGAGTGACCAGCCTTTTGGACTGACTGACTTCCTGCAGGCTCCTTTGATCATAAACTTATTCTTAAAGTTCAGAATGTTGTTTTCAGCCATTCAGGTCAGCAGGACCAAGTGCCCTATTTTGTGGCCTGGTGTTCCTTCCTGATCCACTCCCTTCATGGCTAAAACCCCTTCTTCCTTCCTCAGAGAATGAGACTGAAATTCTTCCTGTCCTACTGAAAAAAACCAAAAGAGGGAGCTAAGGGACCTAATACTTCTGCAGTCTTGCCATCGGATCCTGAATGGACCTCTCTTCCTCCTCCCTATAACCCTTGGCTTCACAGATGGGTTAGGAACTCCCTTTTAAGAGACAGTACAGCTGTTGACTCTACTTTTGTCACACTTGCCCTAAGTCTTCTGCTCCCCTGTGAAACACTTCTGCCTCTGTTGAACCTTCTGCTCCCCCGTGGAGCACTTCTGCCTCTCCTGAGCCTTCTGTTCCTCTGTGGAGCACTTCTGCCTCTCCTGAGCCTTCTGTTCCTCTGTGGAGTTTTTGGCTCCTTCATGGAGCACTTCTTCCTCACCATCTTCTGTCTGCCACTCCCTCCCTTAGTTGAGCCCACTCTGCACTTCAGGGAAGTCACAGGTAGTGGTGTCTACTGCTGTCCCTCTCTGCACTGTGGGACTCCCTGAGGAGAGATGAGATTAAAATATTGCCTAGGGTAGAGAGCAGCTAAACGTTTATCTCCAGATTTTAGCTGGTCATTTCTGAGCAGCTGCTAGGCAGCCCACAAATTTGCCTAAAGTCAAGTACAGCAGGAAAAGGATGAGTCACCAGGAGCATTTTTTAGGGCTTGATGGAAGTTTATTGCACCTACACTCTATTGAATCTGATTCTGAGAATCAGAAGGCAGCCAATCTGGCTTTCACCCACCAAGTAGTCCCAGATATCAGGACAAAGTTTCAGTGACTCAAAGTATTTAAAGGTAAAAATCTGGCTAAATTGATTGTTGTAGCCACTAAGGTTTATAACAACAAAGAAGCACCCAAAGGTCAGCAAATTCGGGGGCTGGCTAAAGTCTTACTGGCAGATAAGAGTTGGGGGCTTGATGGGCAGAGGGAACGTAGGCTGTCCCAGGTACCCCAGGGGCAAGGAGATGATAAAGGCCATGTGCACCCATTCCTCAAAATAAATCAATGTGCTTATTTCAAGGAAAGGGGCCATTGGAAGAAGAAATGTCCTCAAAGAAAGAGAGCACAAAGGGTCTGTAATTGGCAGGTCCAGACTGAAGGGGGTGGTATTTGAAGACTCTTCTCAAGACCTGGGTAAGCCTAAAAGTAGAGGAGCAACCTGTTGATTTCTTAGTGGACTCTGGTGCTCACCATCTGGTGTTATAGATTTCACTGGGGCCTCTATCAAACAAACAGGGATGGCCCTATAACCATGGACCTCAAAACAGACTGTGGATTTGGGAAGAAAGAAAGTTATGCCTTCCTTCATAGTTATCCCTGAATGTCCCTACCCCTCCTGGGAAGAGATTTAGTGACCGACATGAAAGTCAAAATTCATTTCACTGGGAAGGGGAAGATGATATCCTTTTGGCCCAAAGTTTATGCCTTATGCCTGGACCTCGCAGAATAATACAGGTTCTTTTCACAGACATACGTTAGAGGTTAATCCTCTAATGGCTGAACTCCAGAACTCCATCCCAGGAGTGTGAAGAGAGACTAACTCACTGGGGCTAGCAATCCAACAACCCCCAGCTGTAGTTGCCTTAAACGCCAATGCCCAACCAGTCAGTGTGAGGCAGTACCCCATGACTCTAGAAGCCAAGTTGGGCATTACTAAACATATTAATCATCTCCTGGAGCATGGATTCCTAGTACCTTGTCAGTCTCCATGGAACACTCCGTTTCTGCCAGTTGAGAAGCCAGGGACCCATGAATATTGACCAGTGCAAGATCTTAGGGAGATTAACAAACAGGTTGAAGATTTCTAACCCCTATAATCTCCTATGCTCCCTCTCTCCAGAGCTCCAAGTGTGTTCAGTTCTAGACCTTAAAGATGCTTTCTTCAGCCTAACTAACCTTGGAAGCCAAGAGCCAACCACTCTTTGCCTTCGAATGCCATGGCCTAAACGGGCTTCATTGGACAACTCACCTGGACCTGACTGCCACAAGGGTTCAAAAATTACCTAACTATCTTTAATGAACGTTGAGACTTGAGGATTCTTGGAACTCACACCCTGAGGTAAGTCTTGTCCAATATGTTGATGATCTTTTGATTGCTTCTAAGGACCAAGATTCTTGCTTATAGGCAACTAGAGACTTACTGTAGACTTTATGCCAACTGGGGTATAAAGTGTCGGCTAAAAAGGCCCAGATCTGTGTCCCAGGATATATACTGAAAGAAGGTAAGAGATGGCTGTTGCCTGCTCAAAACAAACTATTCTCAACATCCCAGCCCCCAAACCCGGGATAGGATCGGGAGTTTTTAGGCTCAGCTGGATTCTGCTGTCTCTGGGTACCAGGATTTGCTGAATTTGCAAAACCCTTATATGATGCTACCCATGAGGATTCCTCTGAACTGGGACTCAAGAAGGAGCTTACAGAGCCACAAGGAAAGTTCTGCTAAAGGCCCCCACCTTAGCTCTGTCTGATATAAATAAGTCCTCCCAACACTACCAGGCTTTGCTCCTAAACCCCCTTGCATTAGGTTCCTTACTAGCATCTTGCTCAACCCAGTGCCCTTGCTGCCTAACCCAGACTCTGATGTCATCCGTGGCTGCACAGAGATACTTCAGCAAGCACATGGAAGCCGATTGTGTGCTCAAATCCAGATCTCATGCATTTCACATGTGGCGGCAGCAGTTTTATTGGAGAAGTAACCAGGTATGCAGGGGTAGATTCTCTGGGATTACGAATTGTAAGCTGTTTTTTTTTTCTTTATGTCTAAAAGTTACTTATCTTTCCGGGTCTGGGTTACCTCCCTCGATATGATGCTTTCTAGATCCATCCATTTGCCTGCAAATTTCAAGATGTCATCATTTTTTTCTGCTGTGTAGTACTCCATTGTGTAAATGTGCCACATTTTCTTTAACCATTCTTTGGTTGAAGGGCATTTAGGTTGTTTCCAGGTTGTGGCTATGACAAACAGTGCTGCTATAAACATATCTGAATACATACATGTTCTTTCCATCCATCCTTTGGGTATATACCCAAAAGTGGTATTGCTGGGTCTTGAGGAAGATTGTTTCCTAATTTTCTGAGAAATCGCCACACCGATACCCCAAGAGGCTTTACCAGTTTGTACTCACTCCATCAATGGCGGAGTGTTTCCTTTACCCTACATCCTCTCCAGCAAAAGTTGTCATCAGTGTTTTTGATCTTGGCCATTCTTACAGGTGTAAGATGGAATCTCAGAGTTGTTTTGATTTGCATTTCTCTGGTGGCTAAGGATGCTGAGCAAATCTTTAAATGTTTTCCACCAGTTTAGATTCCTTTGTTAAGAGTTCTCTGTTTAGATCTGTACTCATTTTTTTTATTGGATTATTAGTTCTTTGGATGATCAATTTCTTGAATTCTTTGTATATTTTGGAGATCAGACCTCTGTCACTCGTAAGGTTAGTGAAGATCTTTTCCCATTCTGTAGGCTGTCCTTTTGTCTTGTTGACCATGTCCTTTGCTTTACAGAAGCTTCTCAGTTTCAGGAGGTCCCATTTATTAATTGTTTCTCTCAGTGACTGTGTTACTGGAGTTATATTTAGGAAGTGGTTTCCTGTGCCAATGTGTTCAAGTGTACTTCTCTGATGCGGGAGAATTGTCTGTATTCTGTCAATCATATTTTAATAAAA